TTGCTAAACCCAAGTTCACCAGCTCTCACTGAGGCTCTCCATTAACGTTACGTTAGTTACATTCAGATGGCACAAACGGCTTCCTCGTTTTTTCCTGTTTTCTCGGAAAACGTTAAGCTTTCAAACTGTGGTTGCAGCTCACACTGACAGATAAACAGTTACAGTGAGATGCGTCTGTGAATGTTGGGTTGAAATCAGTACGTAGCTTCGTACTGACTCTGATCTGCCACAGAGAGAGTGAGAGAAATGTTTTGTTAGTCCGTTTTGGGCATCTTTGATTTTAATATTACGTTAAAATCTGTGTCATATTTTTGTCTAACATTTTAAAACGATAGTTCATTTTTTGAAGTGGGATTGGATGAGATATTCATCCATAGTTGGTATATTAAAGAGCTGGATGATTTTGAAAAAATACTTAATTGTGATGATCTTTTCAGTGACATTACAGTTGCGAAATGATTAGCAATTTCTGAGTGAAATATAATTTTGTATAATTGTTTTCTTATTTTAATTGAAAAAATTAAAATGATTATGGTCCGATTCTTGCAAGGATGTGTAACGGATGTTTTTTTAAGTCTCTAGATTATGATATGTAGGCCAGGACATCTTTGCAGCAGACCATTTCATTTAAAATAATTTTTTTAAGATTTAAGAAATTTAAGAAATATTGTACCTCCTGTGATTTGAAAATCGCAATAGGCTGTATTGCAATTTTGATCAAATTTTGATTAATTGTTCAGCCCTGGCACATTATTTAATTACTAGATCTATTAGTGATGTAGGCTACTAGTTATACACTAATTTAAAAACACCTTTTTTCTTATTATCTTAGGTTCTGGCCTATGGGGTGGCAGTGCAAGATCTGCAAGTCTTTGTCTGCAACAAAGGGGAATCTACTAAAACATTACAGACTACAACACGCAACATTTGAACTTGGGCAAACCCAGCCGTGTCTATATGACAGTTGCCCTTGCACATTTAAAACACAGGGTGCCCTTCGCACACATTTGTCCAGGTATCATACAGCTCATGTCAGTATACAGCCAGGAATCATCTCTGCTTTTAAGTGTTTAGTTTGCAGTGCTAGTTGTTCTACAGAGAAGGACTACTTTCAGCATATAGGAAATCACCTGAAGAGCCACAAAACTGTCTTTTGTGTATTTGAAGGATGCAGCTTTCGGACAAATATATACAATACATTTTTGAAACACAAAAGTAGAACACACAAATCTTATTCTTCGAGCGATTTTAAGCAAGGTGTGTATGAGAGTCACCACGATCAGATTGTTGACCATTCTGATTCATTAGAAGCCAGTGATAATGAGGGCACAAGTTTAGATTGTGATAAGGAAAGTGCTTCATACTTGATTCTTCAAAGAATCGGTTTTCTTCTGCTGAAGCTAGAAAGTGTCTATAATGCCTCAGTGAAGTGCATTGATGCCTTGGTTGAAGACCTTCAGTTCATTTAATCTTCAGCAGCTGTTGAAGTTGTTAGAGATATACTTGATTTAACATTGAAGTTAAATAAGAGCATTGTTGACCAGGCCATCATAACAGACTTGGCAGAACAGTTGTGCAACTTCCATCCCATTAGTACAGCACTTGCTGTAGGTGGTCCACTTGGTTCAGCTTTTAAGAGAAAAAGGTATTTTAAGGAGCATTTTCGGTGTGTTGATCCTGTTGAATATATTCTTGATTTCCAAAAGAACAAGACCTTTCAATATGTACCTATTCTCGAAACTTTGCAGAAATTTTTGAAGAATAAACACAGTACTGGATATATTAAGTCAACTTTTGATGGCAAACTTTTCAAGCTAAATGCCTTCTATGCTGGAGAAGAGACAAAACTCTCTATAATCCTTTATGTCGATGACTTTGAGGTGTGCAACCCACTAGGAACTTAAAAAACAAAAAACATAATAACAGCCGTTTATTGGATTTTGGCAAATGTACCTTTCCAGTTGCAGTCTGCATTAACGTCAATACATCTAGCTTTACTTTGCAAAGCTGTTGATGTCAAGCAGTTTGAATACAAAGCAGTTTTGGAACCCCTCTTGAAAGATCTTGCCACTCTAGAACAGGACGGGATTTTCATTTCCAGTGTTGGAAAAAGAGTTAAAGGAACTGTACACTGTGTTGTAGCCGATAATCTCGGTGCACATTCAATTAGTGGACTAGTTGAAAGTTTCACGGGGCCGTACATCTGTAGATTTTGACACATGAAGTGCAGGCTGGAGTGTTTCCACCTCGGACAGAAAAGGAACATAGTTTGCATGTGCAAACTGTGAGAGAAAATCCAAATTTAACCCATTGCTTTGGCGTTAAGCGGTCGTGTCCATTGACTGATAAACTGAATCACTTTAATTTTGTGTCTGGGTATCCACCAGATGCACTACATGACCTTTTTGAAGGAATAGTCCCAAGAGAACTAGCATTGTGTTTTCAGACTTTCACAAAGAAGAAGTACTTTAATTTGACTGAACTCAACGAGTTAATCAGACGTTTTCCCTATAAGGGCTCAGACAAAGCCAACAGCCCTCAAACAGTCCATCAAAACTACATTCGTCGCAGAACGATAGGAGGAAATGCCTATGAAAATTGGGCCCTAGTACAGTTGTTGCCAGTCATTGTTGGTTCACGGGTACCTGAGGATGATGCTGCCTGGCAGGTTCTTATGACTTTAAAAGACATAGTTGAATTGGTGGTTGCCCCTGTTCATACACTTGAAACTATTGCATACCTTGACTTTAAAATATCTGAGCATCGTGACAGATTCTTAGCAGTTTTTCCTGAAGAGACACTGACACCCAAACACCATTATTTAGAACATTACCCTGCACTGATTGCAGAGTATGGGCCTCTGGTTGGTGTATGGACAATGCGCTTTGAAGCGAAACACAGCTTTTTCAAGCAAGTTGTGAGGCACACAAAGAACTTCAAAAATATATTGGTGACCCTTGCTACAAAACATCAGATGATGATGGCATTCCATTTACATACAGATGTTGGAAAACAGCCATTGTGTGTCACAAAAATATCTGTGGTGCCTTTAGATGTGCTGCATTCAGACATACAGGAAGCTTTAAGAGAAACATCATCGCTTCTGTCTTCCGTGCAGTTAGCTAACACTGTCACCTGCTATGGAACAAAGTACACTGTTGGGATGATCTTGCCGTATGGCTCTACTGGGGGACTTCCTGACTTTGCTGAGATTATTCAGATAGCCATTTTAAACAACCGTGCACATTTTATTGTAAAGTTACTAGATGCATGGTATGAAGAGCATCTTAGATCTTTTCAACTAGAGAACACTGGCAAAATGGCTCTTGTTGAGCAGCAGAAACTTGGTGATGTATACCCCTTGGCTGCATACAGTGTGGGAGGAAAACGCTTGGTCACACTCAAACATCACATCTGTTATTTGTTTTAAGGTAATTTTTATAAATTATGATAACCTTTACATCTCATAACATCTGTTTTTAAACCCATTGTTCTGGAAATATAACAACAGTATCCTTTTTTGTTGACATTTTAGCAATTTAATAATCATAATTATGGCACACACATTTAATGTTATGATTATAAGTGTGGTGTTTCACTTAAATAAGTACAGATTTTATTTATACATTTTTTTATACAGGTTTTTTTTCATGTACTGTATAAGAATATATTTAACTTTTGTCTATTCTTGTCAGGATGGAAGAGATGGAGGCAAAACTCAGAGTAATAATTGACGACCAAATTGAGAAGTTGGTCCTTCCATCTGGAATCCCGCCCACTGTGGAGGAGCTGCATAATATTGTGAAGGAGACCTTTGGGATTTCTACTGAGTTCAGTCTTCAGTATTTTGACTTGGAATTTGAAGATTATTTTACTCTTCACAACAGTGATTTTATCAAACACAAAGGCACCATAAAGGTTGTTCACACTTCTCCTATTCTTCTGAACTTGTATGCAGCTCATGAAAGTTCGGACAGTTCCTTTGTTCAACAGTCCACTGACTGTGACTCTGCATCGTTTGAAGAGTCAACTGCATCAAATGCAGAGTCATCTGCTGGAACATCTTCTTCACAGGACACCATTATCCTGTCTGGGCGCAGTACCACAGAACGCTGTCAGCCATGGCCAAAGCAGTTCCCCATTCCACAGTTTGCATACGAAACTGAGATGTACCTTGAAAGAGGCAATGAGGACTACAAGAAGAATGGAACACTTCTCACTACCTCTAAGATCAAGGGAGACATACTTGAGAAACTGGCTGAAACTGTATATACTTATACAGCCTATCCATCAGGTTCACAGATAAGTGATGTTGCTGAGGCACTTGTCAATAAATATCCTTGTCTCAAGGAACCCGGTTCTTTTGCAGGTTACTATGGCTGGCAGCAAAGCCTTAAATACAAGATGTCAAATTATCGCACCAAACTCAGAGGCTACGGTGTTCCTGAGGTGTTATGCAATGCACTAAAATGCAAGACCCCTGCGGACAAGAAGTCTGCAAATAATGTAAAAAAGCCTTGAAAAGCAGAGGTAAACTTTCTTCCTCCTTACCCGGCTGGAGAGGATGAAGAAAGTCAAGAACAAGAGAGGATTCAGTTGCTTACTGAAGTAAAGAAAAAGGACAACAACGCATTGATAAAAGAAAAAATGGCCTAAACATTTGCACACAGAAGAAACAAAATCATCAACCAATCACCCAGTATAGAGGACATCAAAGCCAGATGGCCTGCTCTTTTTGAGACATCTCACGTGAGTTATAAGTGCATGCTAATCAGAAATATTCCTAGTCAATGTGAAGGATTGCATTTGTGATTCTGCATTTAGCTATTTCATACAAAATGTGTTACGTTACTGTCATCTATTTTATAGATCAAATTTGATCCATCTTCTTGCTTTTGAAAAAAGTCGTAAGAACAGTATGTATGTTTGTAATATTCGAGGCTTTAAAACTGGTTTCATGATTTGTCTTTCAGATCCAGGATGAGTTTCACAGAATCACAATGGTGCTTCTTGAATCAAAGTTCATGTCCAAACTGGATGAATATACTCCTCGACTACTGAACCTCTTCCACTCCAAGGGTGGAAGCATGGGATTGAGACTGCAGGCTATCCTACTCAAGGTATCCTTCTTTGAGCATTATGGTTGCTAATATTTTATTCTCAAAATTTTGTGTTTAAATTTCTGGAATATCATTACTTAAATTTGCATGATAATTCGTTTTATTACACTGGTCCCCAAGATGGCACAGGAAGGATCCTTGAGCTTATTAACAGTAATATAAACCACCTGGTGTTTATTTTTTTCATTTCAGACTCCAAGCAATCCTGACATCAACAGGACCAGAGATGTTATCATTCGATGTTTGATGTTGTACCTTGGGGAATCTACAGATCAACTCTTAAAAGAGTACGATGTAAGTTGAAGTAGATGTTAAAATACAAAGTAGGTGATTTCTCTCATCTCTTCTACTTGGTATTCGTTGGAAAGTCAAACCACAAAATAGTCATAACTGTATTTCTCCCAGTAGTTCTTGGCAAGCTATATCATTGTCCTCTGTTAAGTGTGTTTAAATTTTTATTTTCCATTAAGGAATTTTTAAGTGCTAGTGCAGAATGCTATCTCAATTTGATTTCACCAACTGGCATAATTTAAAACTTGTCAGTAATTTATGTATTTTTTTTCCTAAGAATGCTTTACCTAACCATAACTTGATTTTTTTTTAAGTCTTTGGATGGCCTTTTTTCTGTAAAAAGACCTTTTTACAGAAAAACTGAGGCAATGCAGAAAAAGATATTCATCAAGACAGTGCCAGGAAGAAATATTAGTGTAATGGATTGATTTAATATCAGAAACTTCTTTTAAAAATATTTGTAAATGTTCAGCTCATCATTGTATAATTGATTATATTATAATAATATAATATATTATTATGATTGATTTATATATATATATATATATATATTTATATATAGCAACGGCTGACAAACTCCAGATTTTCTTGTCCAAACAGTTGTAAGCAATTTTGGAAATGGAACCTTCTCCTTTGGTTATACTGTCTGATATGCACAATGTTCTTGCTATTACAGGATGCTGATGAAGACAGTGTGTCACAGGACCTTGCTGTTCAAAGCCTAAATATCTACAACATCAAAGCTAACACGTCAGAGGAGCCAGACATCGGTATCGTGGTGGATGGCGTGAAAATTCTAACTGCTCTGGGTAACTTTCCAAGGGCTTGTTCCCTGCTTGTTGGGTTGGCGTATGCTGTGAATCTTGCCTATCCAAATAAGCTCAGATACACATTTGAAGTGTTTCAGAAACTTCTCCTCGGGCTGGATAGTTCAAAGCTCTCCCCAAAAGTGAACAGCCTCAGGAATAAACTACTGGCTTAAGAAAACGGACCCTTGCTAAACAATAGGGAATAGACAAGTCACTGTGAAAACCAACATGCAAAACTTTGTGAAATGCTCTGTGAAGTTAGTTAAAATTAGGATCATTTTCAGTTCAGTGGATTTCTGCATGTGTATTTTTTCTTGCAGTACATTACAGTTAACCACCCTTTCTAAGGACTGACCCCTTGTTCTCATATGTGGTAGTGCGGCATGTTATATGGCTTTGGATCTGTTCAGGTCTGTCACATGAACCCTTGTCCCTTTTATACAGCATAGAGCATCCACTATTGCCTTTTTGGAGAGTCCATGCAGGCTTCACCACTGAAGGGTGATGATCTGCAGACTGCAAAACTTTGTTGTGTTTCATTTGCACTTTATATAATATGTTTTCGTTCAGTTCTGTCTTTCAACTTATTTTTCGAAAAGGAAAGTAAGTGTCACGGAGCTAAGGGCCCCAACACAGTGACAAGATGTAGCATAAACATACAAAAAAAGAAAATTGAAGTTTTTATGCCTCAAAGGTCTCACCCATCTCTCACATCTTGTCATGTTTTCCCCAGGTAAGTTTTATGTGCATACTTGTTTTGTGCTCTGCATGCCTCTTAAACATAAAGGGAACTCTTATGTGATTGATTGTTGAAGCAAGCTTAACTGAGTCCAAGTTGATTGTTGTTGATGTGACGGTTCTAAAAAATCATGTTGGCACTATGTTTTTGACTTGATGCTGATATATATTGCCCGTTCTCTGTTTTGTTGTTGTATTTTGGAATTTTGCACTTGTTGGGTGCTGGATAAACATATTTTATAAAGTTGCACAAATAAATGCTGCTGCTGTTTTATGCATTGTAATTTTTTGTTTTTTGATGCCACTCAAGTTTGGTCAGGATATTGTGTAAATTAGACACAGAAGAATTATGGCAACAAAGTGACATTCAATATTATTGAATAGATTTAAAGTCCTATGATAGAAATAAAAACTAAAATTTTATCTATTATTTTAGCTACAGATAAATAAGAACAACAGTGTTAATGTGTTGAATTAAGCAATAATGTGCTACAATATGAGTTGATATAATTTGTAATGTAATTGTAATTTATAATGATTTACTTAATCCAAATAATTTTTATGCTGATGTTTAGTAAATCTAAATCAATTTCACCCATTTAATTAATAAATATAAGTTAATTTCACCCAGATTATCAGTAAATAGGAATCAATTTCCCCCAGATATTTAGTAAATCTAAATCATTTTTGCTCAGATACTTAGTAAATGAAAATAAGGTTTCCTTGTAAAATTGACTTGGATTTACTAAATATTTTTGGGCAATATAACTTATCATTTGGCTTGATATTACTAAATCCAACACATTTCAGCTGTTGCTTCTATTAAGATGTACTTAATTTTTAAAAGTTAAGTTAAGTTAAGTTAAGTTAAGTTAAGTTAAGTTAACATATTCAATACTTTTTAATCAAAATTGTATAACACTTTCTGCAGATATTCCTGGCTCTGGAGCTGTGGGGTCTGGATCTGTGGTTGGGAGTCTCCTCCTATCACTTCCTGCAGGTGTTCCTAGAGCTGTGGAGTCTGGATCTGTGGTTGGGAGTTTCCTGCTGCCCCCATGTTCCTGCTCATCATTAGCATTAATATCATTGCCATTTTTAATCTATTCTACGTGTTGCTGTGTTGGCTGCCCCTCTCTGCTCCTTCTGTCCTTCTCTCGCCCTCTGTCTCTCTCTTGCTCTCTCTTTCCCCTCACCCCCAACCGGCCGAGGCAGATGGCCGCCCACCCTGAGCCATGGTTCTGCTCAAGGTTTCTGCCTGTTAAAAGGAAGTTTTTCCTTGCCTGTGTCGCCTAGTGCTTGCTCATGGTGGGAATTGTTGGGTTTCTGTAGTTAACTTCAGAGTAGGGTCTGACCTGCTCTGTTTGGAAAGCGCTGTGAGACAACTGTTGTTGTGATGTGGCGCTATATAAATAAAATTGAATTGAATTGAATTGAATTGAATTGAATTGAATTGAATTAAAATCTATTCAATTATATTACGTGTCACTTTGTTGCCACAATTTTTTTAAGTAACCTTTGGTCAAATTTTTCTCAGTGATATATTCTTGATAAAATAAAACAAAAAATCATTACACTATGTATCCGTGCTGAAAGTATTGCAGCAGATTCTAAATTCAGATTCTATCTTAATAAAGACTGCCAATTTGAAAGAGAAATATCAGTCACCTTAGAGTGATAAAGCAGTTTGTCCCTGTGATGGTGAATTTTTCAGATACAACACACTTTTTTCTAAAGACAAAGACAATTTTACTCAACCTTTATAAAGATGATTTCAAAATATGGATTCCCATTGGGACATCAGGATGAAAACATGAAATATGTGCCCGCGATTGGACTTAAGGCAATCTGTTCCCCAGTTGTCAATCTTCATTGTCATAGATACACTTGGCTCTTCTAATCAAAAGTAATTTATGTATGTCCATCTTCACATCTAAAAAATACTTTACTCTTCCATATTTAAACAAGTCTATACTACATTTTCCCTTTAAGTGGAGTGACGAAGTTAATTGTCCCCATCAAGTGCCATTGAACTTTGCATCTCAAAAGATGATGGGTGGAAATTCCCACGAGAAGTGGTGTTTGTTAAGGTTTTCCCCTTCCTTGTTGGCCAGAAGGTGCCTGTTGAAGAACCTACATGGAAAATACTGACTGATATAAAGGATATTGTGGACCTTATCGTCTCACCTACTCATACAGAGGAGTCAATTGCCTATTTGAATTTCAAAATCTCAGAGTACGACTTCAATAGGTTTTCCCAGATTACAACCTGTTGCCGAAGCATCATTCCTTGGAACATTATCCTCAACTTATTTGTCAATTTAGACCCTTAGTCTTCTTTGGACTTTGAGATTTGAAGCAAAGCACAGTTTTTAAAAGAGTTGTTTGATATACAAGATCTTTCAAGAATGTGTTGTGGTCTTTGGCACCAATTTCACATGGCACAGCAGGTGTTTATGTACCCTCAAAAACCTCTTCTGGAAGTGTCAAATGTTTCAACTCTTTCTGTTGATGTGTTGGAGGAGGATATTGCATGAGCTATACAGCTGAAACAGCCAACTGTGGACAATGTGTGTCTGGCAAAGAATTTCACTTACAATAGAGAACTGGAATGATCCTTTCTCATGGATCTTTGGCAGGGATTCCTGAATTCACTGAAATCATCCACATGTTGGTTCTGAAAGACAATATTTTTTCATTGTTCGGAAGCTGAGTGCGTGGCATTTGGAACACTTCAGGGCTTTTAAACTTGAGATAAATCTTTTAGCACCAGATAAATTGATTGATCCATATCCACTGGTGGATTACACTGTGGGAGGAGTGTGTTTGATTTCACTGAAAAGATATATTCAAGTTACCTTAAGGTCTGCATTTTCTTATTCTTATCCTTGTCCTATATGCATATAATTAATTCAATTAAAAATGTTAAATGTATATGGAAAGCAGTTTCATTCAAAATTAAATAAATATTTCATTTAAATAAATGAAAATACCCTTGTAATAAAATGAAACTGACATTAAAGAAATATTCTTAAAATTGTATTTTAATTTATTTCAAGATGTTTTTATTTTATATTTCACAATGGAACTTTATTCATTTAAGTCATAATGGATTTTTATCTATTAATTTATTTATTTCATAATGGAGTTTTAATCTTTATTTTGCGATGACACTTTACTTTTTCAGTGGCTTTTATTTTTCAGAAGAATTCTGGAAAAGGTTGCCAAAAAATGGGCATAAATTCTTCTCTGCTATTTTCTAAGATAGCTCTCGTCACTGTTCTCTGACCGGCGTCCCACAGACAAAACTCCGCCCCTTCATTTGAATATAGGAACATGAAATAAAAAGAGCTTTAAATGAAAAACGGGGTTAAAAAATAAAAACCACTGAAATAAATGTCTTTACAAAACGAAAGCGTCATGAAACAAATACAAACATCTTTAAATAAATTTAAATGAAATATTTACAACTATTTTCTAAAGGTCAATATTGTATTATTTCAAGGGTATATGAATTTATTTAATGAAATATTCATTTATTTAATTTTGTATGAAACTACTTTTCAGAAATGGGCACTTTATTGACACTGGGGAAATTTGACACACTGGACTTATTACAATTCAAACTTGTCATCTTTATGCCAACACAATGTGGTTGTGAAAGTGAAGTAAAGCTTTCCTTCGTTCTCTCCTGTTCTCCAGACATATCCAGGACTCTTCCTCTTGCTGAAGTTAAGTATTCTGCATCGTATATGTCTGTATCTGACATGTGTCCTGTTCCGAGTCCTGTTGACCCCTGGTTCCTGTCCATTCAGCATAAATGGTTTTATTCATCTCAAGAACCTGCAGTTGGAGCTGATGCCATGTATTTTGTGTCTCCATTAGAGTTGTCACAATACTAAAATTTTCAACTCGATACCGATACTCAGGAAAATACTCGATACTCGATACCATTTTCGATACCCTCCACCCTTCATAATTGTGAGAAATAAATATTGTTTGGTTAAACTTGTTTGGACTTATTGTACAAACCTATTTAACATCCACTATTTTAACATAATATTATGGATAGAGTTTAATTAAGTGTTTGAAAGATTAATTTCACTATTGTTAAATTAATACCATACCATTAATACATAATACCATTAATACCATTTTCTTGCCTGGGATCTTCCTATTGGTGATGTAATCAAAATGGCCGACTTGCATGTGGGCGGACTTGGATA